AGCAATGGATAAAAAAGACAATTTTTTCTACATTAATTACAAGAATCAAATCTTGAATAAAAATTGTCCTTATGAATTGTAAGAATCACAATGGCTACACGCAATTTGTTTGCATGAATTGCAAGTTGTTCGGATTACATAAAAATTGTTTTTATCAATTATAAGAAACAGGATCTAAATGAATCGTAATCCAAGAAAAATGGCACGAATGTTCATCTTACTGCAATAAATTGCTATGATATTAGAGTAATCTGCTTCTGTTTCTCTTTTTTTGTTTTTTTTTGTTTTTTTTTTTTTAATTGAAATCTGAGAGTTAAGACTGTGCGAAGTGTTGATGCAGTGTCGAATCCAAGAGCAGTGACCAGTGGCGCACACGTAAATGGTAACTGATCCCCGTCGGACACAAGAGAACGATAAGGCAGATTGAGTTATGGGAAACGATCCTCTAGTTTTTATCACGCGTTTCGTCTTCCAGGTGTCTCACCGTTCCAGTGTATCCGGTTACTCGTCGCAGAATCTGGCCATTAGTGTTAACAAGTTAACAGTTAGAGCGCCAACGCCGACATCTGACACACCGAACTCTAGCGTTTTAGAAAAATTAATAAACCGTCGAATATTTCTCCGTCTTAAACAATTCATTGACTTTCAAGAATGACATTTCGAATCTTATCGATAGGATTCCGCGATTAGACCAAGTAAATATTTAAGTAAAAAGATTTGATGTTCGTCTTATTTGGATGATTATGGCAGCAACGGATAGCTGAGATTCTGCTGATTAAAATGAATCCAAACACGACGTAAATCGGACTACGTTTGTCGAAGTGATCATTCATTATACAGAGTGGGTCACAGTAACGTCGAATAACTTTAAACTTAGTTGATCTTGAAATCCTTGCAAACCTCTTTGCACACCTTCGAAACCATGTATCTAACAATTTTTCATAAAATGCATGATTTCAGACTTGAGGTGCGCAAGCTAATTGACTCACCCGGTAGATCGCGTATCAATCGACCGGGGATTAGCTGAAATTCATCCGATTTACATCGTGTTTGGACTCATTTTAATCAGCAGAATCTCGGCTATCCATTCGTACTACAATTACAGAGGAATGCGACAATTGTTGAAAATGAAACTTTCTTATCGCACGTTTACTTTTTGCTCGTCGCGGTGTCCCTTTGACTGCGAAACCTCAACCGTCGCTGTTATGATTACTTTATGGCCCGGCCGATTTCTACGGTCTCTCGTTAAATATCGTGTCCGCTCGTTGTATTTATTTCACTGACTCTCGAATTCATATCAATTTCACTCACACCACTGTACGATGAATTTTCTTTGTGCTTCAGGAATAGAGAGGAGAGGCCATCCAGAATGGTTCTAACCGTGACAGAGGACACACCAGCGGACATGCTGGCCGGAAGTATGGAGCTTCTGGTCCAGTTGCCTCGGGAACATCATCAGCAGACTCAGAGGGTCACGGTGCCAAGAAGGTATGTAATATTTTTGAAGACATTAGACAGATAAAAAAAAACATTAAATTGTACGAAGAATTTTACCACATTTTTAAGCAAAATCTCATTTAATTTTAATAAAGCTCGCGCTAAATTTTAAAATAGATCTCACTAAATTTCAAAAGAAGTCTCATTAAATTTTAAGACGAGTCATCTCACTAAACTTTGAAAATATATCACCAAATTTTAAAACAGATCTCACTCAATTTTAAAACCGATTTCGCTGAACTTTAAAATGATCTTACCAAATTTTAAAGAATTTCTCATTCAATTTTGGAAGGATCTCACCAAATTTCAAAGCAGCTCTCGCTATTAAATTTTAGAAAGGATCTCAGTAAATTCAGAGAGAGAGAGAGAGAGAGAGAGAGAGAGAGAGATACTACTTAACAAAGTATTTCACTAAGCGTAAAAAATGATGTTACCAAATTTCAAAAAAGACTTTTGCTAAATTTAAAAAAAGATTTCAATATCCACTTTAATCCTTCTGATTTTGATAAGAACAAGGAAAATAGCAACAAATTAATTGTTGCCTCCTCGTGCCAAACAACTTTTTTGTTCGAAACACTCTTTCATGCAACATGCAGTTCACAAGAAAAATTAAGGCGAAAGAGTTAAATGACTCACCCTGTAATGTAGCGTCCCATTAAAATTTCGATTTGTCGTTCCTTAACGACATCCGTAATTAAAACGTTCGATTAAAATGGTCAATTAAAGGGTTCAACTTGAAAGCCTGAATCCGTGTCGAGCGGTGTTATTGTCTCCGAAGTGATTCAACATCTGGCGAGAAGCTGGTCCCGTCAGGTGTTCTAATTTACGAGTTTCTACTCGAGGGAACACGGATCGGTTCAGAAGAACCTGTCCTCTTCACGGTTACGCAATTTTCACACGTTCTCTCCCACGAATAAAGGAATCGGAATACGCACCGTCACGAAAGAGACCGTCTAACGGTCCCGTGATATCGGCTCGGTTTTTTAAATCAAATCAATTGGCCACGCGGAAACTGGCAATTCTTTACAGTTAAAGTGCGCCGTCCTATAATGAAGCCTCGATTATGCGAATTCTGTGCTATATGAACACGCGTCACATGATAGTAGCTTTAACAGGACACCGTTTATCGTGCGAATAAACAGAGATTTAATTTAACATTGTAATTCACGCGTCAAACATCGACACGAAAAATTCAATCAAATCAAAATAATTTAGTCGACGCAATTAATCCAAAAAGTTATTCAAAATCGGGAAGTGTAGGGTTCCTGAGATCATTTAAAGAAACTTTTTCCTTTGCGAAAATGTGGTCCGCGGCTTCGTTTACGAGTTATTAACAAAAAACACTGACCAATACGAGGCAAGCTCGCCTGGCGCGAGGCGGCGGAACCAATGAGCGGCACTGGGCTTCGTCCGCTCTTTGGCTCGGTCGCCTCGCGCCAATTGGATCTCGCCTCTCATTGGTTACAGTTTTTCGTTAATAACTCGTAAACGAAGCCGCGGATCGCATTTTCGCTAAGGAAAAAGTTACTTCAAATCACTTCAGGAATCCCTCATTTCCCGATTTCGAGTGAATTTTGGGACACCCCGTGTCTTCATATT